AGGAGGAGGAGGAGGAGGAGGACGTTCGACGAACTCTGTAGCCACCAGGAACCAAGAGAAGAAGGAGGAGGTGCGGGCGAGATGTGTATCCATATCCACTGCAGCTTGGAGTGTCGGGCTCCCTTCCTCAAAAACCCGAGACGCCCTGGATATGAAAAAAATCCAGCCCCTGGAGGCTAGATTTGTATACATATCCAGTGCGCCTCGACGTTTTGGCACCCCCTCCCAGAAAGTTTGAGACGCAGTGGATCTGGATAAAAATTGTGCCCGGTGGGGGGGGGGAGGAGTGAGAGGAGGGGGAAGTGGAGGAGGAGGAGGAGGAGGAGGAGGAGGAAGAGGGGGAAGCGAACTCTACGGTCCCCGCTGGCCCAAGTTTGCCGAACGTGAGAATATTTCGTACTTAGCGAGAGGCAGCCGAGAGCGAAGTTAGCTGGCCGACGCGCTGGTTGTTGCCTCACCCCCTCGAGGATCGCACAGCCAGTCCCTGGGCCAGTCTGGCAAGGTGGAGCCGTCCCGCCCTGGCACCAGGACGACATTGGTTAAGGAACTGTCCCTCAACCCTGGACTGGGGGGAACCCAAACCGTTGCATCTTTCGCACGCGAGAGCCCGCTCCCGCCCAACCCCCGCACCACGCCTCGTGGGTCCCGTGACCTTAGCAGCGATGGCGGAGGGTCCTGGGCGGTAAGGCTGCTCCAGCCATTGACTTACAACGCCCTTGCCGCGCGAGATGGGTGCGGATCCGCAATCGCGGCATCTCGAGCGAAGGTGCGGTTCACAGCAGAGTGCCCTCGCCGCCAGCGCATCCTGGCCTCGAAATAGGGCGCTGTTCTCGCTGGAAGCTGCGCTTTTCGCGGATCCGCACGGCGGAACCCATCGCAGCGGTGGGAAACGTCCCTGCGCACACCGTTTGTGGAGCCCGCAGGCCGCTACGAGCATCCATCGCCAAACATCCGACCGTGGCGACGAGCCCCAAGCTAGGGCGAAACAACCGACCCAAGACCACGCCACCTGGAGCATTTGGCAAGTCTGTCTGCCACATCATTTCCCTATGACCAGGACCCTCGTTTCCCTGGTAAACTCGGGGATGTCATCCAAGTTGTGGTGCGCTGTTGTTTTGCATATGTCGGAAAGGGTATCCCCTGAGTATTCACCTGTTGCTAACAACTCTAATCCTGCATCGTATCCGCCCTGTCAAATCCTGGCTGGGCATACTTGTCGATCGCCCCGTGGTGATCAGAATGCATGCGTCTTAACTTGGGATGCTTGAGGGCCACGGCCATCGCAACATGCCCCGCCGCGGGCGAGGTGGACGGCAACAACTTGCCGCCCTGCCCTGAAACACTGGGCTGTACACTGTCCGCTCTGGTCGACCACCGCTGCAACCCAGCCTGTCAAGTGACACATCCGGGGTCACTGCTTAAACGCAACCCGTCCTCAAAGCCTTCGCCAGACATGGCGACTTCAGAGGGTTGCCCGTTTCGGAACCCAAGCTCCCACCCAAGGCCAACACCTCCAGGCCTGTTGACACACGGCAAGCGTTGAAATTGAAAACCGTGGGTGGGGGGAGCTGCAAGCGGGGACCCGAGAAGGAAGAGGAGCAGGAGGAGGACCAATGTAAACCCAAAGCTCACCAATATTGTTGGAATCAACCGTCCCTCCACGTAAGAGTTCATTTCCACTGAGGGAAAGAATTGCGCCGTTGGGAGAAAAAACCGTCGGAAGATCCTGAAGCATACCAACACACCGTTCTCAAGCATCTAGACGATCCTGAATCGCGCAAGAAAACCACTCACTTCAACACCGCGAATCAACGCAAACATTACGCCTTGACAATCTTGAATCGTTCCGAAACGCTATGTTTGGTACGTCGACCATGGGAATCCCTGGAACACTTGCAAATGCTTAAAACGAGTGTGCGCGGTGATAAGGCTAGAACAACATGTTGAACAGGAGCCGCCCTCGATACATTACGCTTGCAACTGTTTCAGACGAGTGTGCGCGGCGCTGAGGCGAGAACCACAGTTTGAGAAGGGGCAGCGCCCTTCATGCCATGAAGCCCTTGCATCTGTGTAAGACGAGTGTGCGGGGCGCGAAGGCGAGGGTTGCACGTTGAAAGGGAACCGCCCTCCGTCCAGGAACATCTGGCAACTGTGTAAAACGAACGTGCGTGGCGCTCCTCCCCCTCCTCCCCTTCCTCCTCCTCCTCCTCCTCCTCCTCCTCCTCCTCCTCCTCCTCCTCCTCACTCCGCGAAGCTCTTGCACATGATTAAGACGAGTGTGCGCGGCGCTCAAGCGGGAACCAAATTTTGACAAAGAGCCGCCCTCAGTCCGTGAAGCTCTTGACAATGTTCAAGACGAGTTGCGCGGCGCGACTGCAAGAGTCACAGCTCTGGCGGGTGTTTAAAACGAATGTGCGCGGATCTAAGGCGAGAGCCACATTTTGGAAGCAGCCCTCCGTCCATGTTTGATGCTGCTGCTAATTTTTTCAGCTTCAGGATCAGAAAGGGTAAGGAAGTCTCAAGCGAAACGCCAGTCCCGCGCTTCCGACTGGCCACGGTTGCGACAGCGAAGAATCACTCATAAGGAAACGGAATGGAGAAGGAGTGAGAGGAGGGGGAAGAATAATATGTCTTCCGTGGTTGACTCACTGCTTGCAGATATTCTGTGACGCTACAGGGCTCCTGGGGTCTCTAGGAGAATTTGGAAGGGGGACTGTAGGAACAGGCGGGGAGTGAGTTGGGACAGGGGATGGGTAGGAGAGGGGGGAGGAGGCAGGAAAGAGAAACAAGGAGGGGGGAGGGGGAGGTGGCATAGACAAGGTCCGTTTGGAGGCCCCCCGGTTGCGCACCCACTCCTCCCTGGGAGCAACCACTCCCCAAGCGGTGCCTCGAGCCCGACTACTGCGCGCCAAGACAATGGAGAGGAGGGAAAAAAAGGGGGGCAAGATGTTCTGTCCCCCTTGTTTTCCCTCAGGAAGCGCAGGAGGGCTGTTCGTTGGCCCGTCTGGGCTGCTCTTGGCTCCACTGAGATCCCAAGGGGGTCCCCAGTGAGCGGTCTGTCTGCCGATCTCCTGCTGGTGGAAGGCGCGACCGCCTTTCCTCCTCTTCCTCCTCCTCCTCCTCCTCCACCTCCTCCTCCTCTTCCACCTCCTCCTCCTCCTCCTCCTCCTCCTCCTCCTCCTCCTCCTACTCCTATTGCTCCCCCCCAGCCCTCCCCCGCCTCCCCCCTCCTCCTCCTGCGCCTTCCTCGCCTGACGCCCGACGACGCCTCCTCCATTTCCGCCTCCGCTGGCCGTGGGCATGGCACAACCGTCATTTCTTAATCGGGGTGCCCCTAAGATTAGTCCAACGATTCTGCCACCTGTGCGCCAGGGTTGGCCCCCCTTTGGAAACCGGCCTCTGGGAGCTTCCGACCCGCAGCGCCGCCCAACGTTGGCCCGCGAAGCCCTTGTGGAAGAAGGAGAACTCGCCATCGCTCGGACGTTCATTTCCTGTGCATTTTTCGGTACCGTGCGCTCCAAGATGCTCCTCGATGGTCCTCGCCAAGAGAAAATGCACACCTCCGAGCGATGCCAAGAGAAGGAAGAGACGGGGCAATGGCCAGGGGGCCTGGAGAGCACCGCATAGCGAGGAGACGGGCCCACGGCCGTGGTAGGGCGAGCTACCGACCGGGCCCTCCCATCAGGGGCGCGCGCGCCCGCCGCAGGCAGGGGGCGGGGAAGGGCAAGATAATGACCAGGAAAAACCAGGCGGCGGCGCAGAGAGAGAGGGGGCCAGGGGAGGGGAGGAAGGAGACGTAACAGAGAGGGAAAATTAAAGGGTATGGGGAAACACCTGGACGGCTAGCGAAGTCGGGCCAGCCCACGCCCGTGACCGGCCCCGTCTACCCCCAACCCTGGTCACGTCGCGATTTGCGCCGGCGCCGTCTGGGGATGAACCAATCCCAATCAGATTGCCCAATCATTCCCGCACAGCGCCAGCTCGAATCGTAACGCGACTGGCCCCCCGCCCCCACCCCCCTTCCTGGTCACGCCCGTCATCGTCAAGGGATATAAAAACACGGCTCCAGCGGGCCCCGTCGTTGCACTCTGCACTCGGCGTCAAAAGTCGCGCGTTCCACGAGGCCTGCCTCTATCGGGGCCACCGGCCGCAGGCTGCGGGCGCGGCCCCAGCCAAGCACCCGCTGCTCCGTCAACAGCTGGGTCCTGGAGCAGCCATCGTTGGACCAAGCCCCGCCACTCCGTTTCCGAGGCTGCCGCGGCGGCGCTCCACCCCGCCATATCCCGCCACTCAGAGCGCACGCGTGCGTGCCTTACTCGTCAAGCGGCTGACCCCAAGGCGCTCTGCGGGCCCGGCGGGCAGCCGAACGGTCCTGACAGGTTGCAAGCCGCGCCGCCGTGTGGAGCTCTGCCAGCGAGCCTTAGGCCTGGGCCGGCGTGCTCGGGCACAGACCGTCGTGGCCCAGAGCGCATCCTCGGCGGATCAGGCCCAGCCACCTGGGTGGTCGACGAGGAAGCTCACAGCCGCTGGCCCCTCGTCCCCCAGGAGCGCCGCCTGCTCGCGCTGGTGCTGAAGCTGCCTCAAGGCAGCGTGCTTTTTCCCCCGCGCAGCTTGCACGAACTGGCTCTCCCTCGTTGGGTGCTACAAAACGTCCGGCGTCCAGCGAGGAGGCTCCCAGCGCGGGGTCCGCGCCCTGTCGTCGTAGCGCGCCGCCACCGCCTCGCCGGCCAGCTGCGTGCGCGGGAACTGCGCTGGCTCGCAGCTATCTCCTCTTCCTACTCCTTTCTCTCTGCTTCTATTCCTCCTCCTCCTCGTCGTCGTCGTCCTCCTCCTCCTCCTCCTCCCTCCCATTCCCCCTCCTCCCCCCCTCCTCCTCCTCCTCCTCCTCCTCCTCCTCCTCCTCCTCCTCCTCCACCACCTCCTATCGCTCCCCCCCCTCCTCCACAAGCCAAGGCGCGCGTGGCATCGGCGGGCTGCGGAATGGCGCCCCGGGAAGTCTCCTGAACGGCCGGGTCCTCCACCCAGCAGCCGAACTCCGTGGAACCCGCCAGCCACCCAGGACGGGCGGAGAGGCAGCCCAGAGGACAAGATTCGCTCTCTATCCGAGGGTGCACTCTACGCTCTATGCGTGCAGCCATCGTGCCGCCAAGCACAGCGCCAGACGAGGATCGGAGAGGCTCTGCTGGCCACGGCAAGCCTCGACCGCGAATCGGCTCCCCGACCTGGATCGAGGGAACGGCGCCAAAGCCGGAGCCCGTCTTGAGCCCCAAGTGGTCCCTGTGTCAGCGCATTGGCTCGCCTCGTTTGCACAGACCCATCTTTGCATGCATCTAACAGCACGTACAGCCATGCCATGATTCGTAACACATAGAAAACGGAATGTGAATCGAAATGCACATCTATACACATGTGGGTGTATATGTTTGTGTCTGCATATGTGCGTAAATCCGCCGACCATGTCGGCGTGTGGAAAAGGCTGTTCCGTTTGACGCGTCTTCGTCGACGTCGTCGTCGCCGTCGCCGTCGCCGTCGACGCTCCCTCTCATTCCCTGGGTCCGTCGCCGCTCTCCCCTTTTCCTAGGCCCTCCTTCTTAAGCGCGCCAGTCAGAACGACATTTCGCAGCGTCGCAATTGCGTCGAAGGGAAGCCCCTTCCCTTTGATCCATTCCCCGCCAAAGGGGGGGGGTCGCTGGGGGGTCCTCGGTCAGAATCCACGCCCCCCTCCTGGAAGGGCCCCGGGGCCCAAAAAAGTCCCAAGACGATCCACGAGTGGCCCAAGATGCCCCCAAGACGGTCCAAGAGGACCCCGAATCGCCGAACGATCGGTCCAAGACGTCTTTACGGTCTCCAGACGGCCCCCACAGAGGCCTTCGAGAGCGCTCCGAAGAGATTCCAAACAGAATCCCTGAGGACTCTGACCCACGTCAGCGTCGTCGTCGTCGTCGTCGTCGTCGTCCCCCTTCAGGGTCGGCGGCACCTGCCGTAAGGCCTTCACAAGATGCGCCTATACATACATACATACAAACAGACACACACACATGCATGCATACTTACACACATGTACAGGCATACATTGACATAGACATAGACATAAACCTAGCCATAGCCATAGATATAGACATATGGACCTATATGTGCATACATACACAAGTATATACACATACAGATACGTGTAGACATACATACAGATGCTAGAACCTGAGCGCGCGCGAAGCGCGCGCCATGGGATCCCAGAAGGCCTTCTGGGAGCATGGGTTTGGGGGCGTCTTGGGGAGCCTGTTGGGGCGTGCCGTTGTCGTTGTCGTCGTAATGTCGTCGTCGCTTATTGGGGCGCGCCGTCGTCGTCGTCGTCGTCGTCGTCGTCGTCGTCGTCGTCGTCGTCGTCGTCGTCGTCGTCGTCGTCGTCGTCGTCGTTTCGTCGTCGTCGTCGTCGGTTCAAGAGGGCACTTGGGGCAACTTTGTGCGAAACGATCTGCGGACGGCCGCGAGCAGCTCTCCTGTAGCATGATGGTACTTCGAAGCCTCTGGAGACTCGCGGGCCCATGATGAACCATGTCCCTGGAAGGCTTTCTGGGGACATGGTTTGTTGGGGTGTGTTGGGGGTCTGGTGTGCGTTCCCTGGGGGCCCAATGGGGGCCTCCCGAAACTCTCGGGCCCATGATGAAACATGTCCCCGGAAGGTTTTCTGGGGACATGATTTCTTGGGGTGTGTTGGGGGGCCTCTTGGGCGTTCCCTGGGAGCCTGGGCGTTCCCTGGGAGCCCCTTGGGGGTCTCTTGGGGCTTCCTGGGGGCCTCTTGGGCGCCTCACGGGGCTTCGTCGGAGCCTGTTGGTGGCCTCCGGGGGCCTACAGGCGGCCTCTGGGGCCAGAGACATCGAAATATCGGTTGGCGGTCCCCCTCTGGGCCCTCTCTTGGGGAGCTCCTGGGGCACAATTGGGTTGTCTGGGGAGCCTCCTGGGCCGTCTTGGGGCCCTCTTCTGGGCCTCGTGGCCCGTCTTGGAGCGATCTGAAGGGCCTCCGAGCGAAGCCGTGAGGGAGCGCTGGGTAGCGGGGGAAGCGAGAACGCCTAAATCCTTCAAAAACCATCCGAAAATTCGTGAATCTTGCCTCCCAGGGTCCTCTTGGGGAGCCTCTTGAGTCCTTCCTGGAGCGTCTTGGAGTCCTCGTCGTCGGCCGTCTTGAGGGCATCTTGGGCGTCTTCGGGGCCTCTTGGGACTGTCTATGGCCCTCTCGGGAACTCCATTAGCCTGTCGTGGCCTGCTTCGGGGCGGGCCTGGGCCGCCTCGGGACCCCTCTGAGCCTTCTCTTGGCGCGCTCTTGGGGCACAGTTGGGTCGTCTGCGGAGCCTCCTGGGCCATCTTGGGGCCCTCGTCGGGGCCTCGTGGCCCTTCTTGGAGCGATCTGAAGGGCCTCCGAGGCCGTGAGGGAGCGCTGGAAAGCAGGAAAAGCGAGAACACCCAAATCCAAATGCAAAACACTCGGAAAACGAGCGAATCTTGCCTTCCGAGGCCCTCTTGGGGAGCCTCTTGAGTCCGTCCTGGAGCGTGTTGGAGTCCTCGTCGGCTGTCTTGAGGGCATCTCGGGCGTCTTCGGGGCCTCGTGGGACCGGCTTGGGCCCTCTCGGGACCCCCTTAATTAGCCTGTCGTGGCCTGCTTCGGGGCGGGCTCGGGCCGCCTCGGGAGCTCTGGACCCCCCCCGCAACCCCCGGTGAGCACCGATGAGGGGAACAGGCAGCGGCCCGCCCCCCCCCGGGGCCATCTCCGAGATAGAGAATCATGTTCCCGGGAAGCTTTCCGGGAGCATGATTTGTTCGGCTCTCTAAGAGGGGGGCCTCTGGGGGCTTACCGAGGAGCGCCTTTTGGCCTTGTCGGCAAGCCTATTGGAAACATGGTTGGGGCGGTGGGCAGAAGCCCAGGGGATCATGTTCCCGGAAAGCCATCTGGGAAATACGATTTACCGAAGTGTCTTGGGGGCCCGCAGGGGGGCTCCCCTGGGAGCCCCTTGGGGGCCTATTGGGGCTTCCGGGGAGCCTCTTGGGAGCCTCACGGGGCTTCTTGGGAGCCTCTTGATGGCTCCGGGGGCGTCCTAGGAGCCTCTCAGGCGGGAGACCTTGAAATGTCGCGCTCTTCGGGCCCTCTTGGGTCGCTCTTGGGGCTCTCTTGGGGCGCTCTCGAGGCCCTCTTGACTTATCTGGGAGCCTCCTGGGCCGTCTCTGGGCTTTCTTGGGAGCCTCTTCGGCCGTCTTGGAGCGATCTGAAGGGCCTCTGACGCGGTCCGGGACCGTGGGGAGGAGGAACATGGGAGAGCGCAAGAATGCTTCAAAAAACAATAGGAAAATGCTTGATTTTCGGCTGCTGGGACCCTTTGGAGGGGCCTCTGGAGGCGCTCTTGGGGCGTTTTGGCGGCGTCGTCGGCCGTCCTGAGGCCATCTTCGGCGTGTCCGGGGCCTCTGGGGGCTGTCTTTGGGCGTCCTGGGAACCCGGCAAACATGTTCCCGGAGAGGCTTCCGGGAACATGATTTCGAACGAGGCCCTCTCGGGCCTCCTGGAGGCCGTCTTGGGGGCCTCCTGGGCCGGCTTTGGGCCCTCTCGGGCCGTCTTGGGAGGTTCCGTGAGCCCCACAGAACGACCCTTTTGGGCCGTCTTGGGCCCTCTTGGGTCTCTCTTGGGCTGTGTTGGGGCTCCGCGGGGGCGTCTGGGGCACTGCGAAGACGAAGCAAGCGAGTATGCTGAAAATGTACGTTTTACTACGGGAACCGGCTGATTTTTGCCTCTTGAAGGCCCTCCCTCTTCGGCCATCTTCAAGTCATCTCGGGCCCTCTTGGGCCTCGCTGAGGCTGTCCTGGGGCCCTCTAGGGGGCCCTGGGAACCCGGGAATCATGTCCCCGGAGAGGCTTCCCGGAACATGATTTCGAACGTGGCCCTCTTGGGCCTCCCTGAGGCCGTCTTGGGGGCCTCCTGGGTCGGCTTCGGGGCGTTTTGGGCCGTCTTGGGGGTTCCGTGAGCCCCACGGGACGACCCTTTCGGGCCGTCTTGGGCCCCCTTGGGTCTCTCTTGGGCTGTGTTGGGGCTCCGCGGGGGCGTCTGGGGCACTGTGAGGACCAAGCCAGCGAGTATGCCGAAAATGCATGTTTTACTAAGGAAATGAACCGATTTGTGCCTCTTGAAGGCCCTCTCGGGGCCCGCGTCGGCCATCTTCAATCCATCTCGGGACCTCTGGGGCCTCGCTGAGGCTGTCCTGGGGCTCAGTAGGGGGCCCTGGGAGCCCGGAAATAATGTTCCCAGAGAGACTTCCGCGAACATGATTTCGAACGGGGCCCTCGTGGGCCTCCCTGAGGCCGTCTTGGGGGCCTCCTGGGCCGTCGACCCTTTTGGGCCGTCTGGGGCCCTCTTGGGTCTCTCTTGGGCTGTGCTGGGGCTCCGCGGGGGCGTCTGGGGGGCACTGTGAAGACGAAGCCAACGAGTATGCCGAGAACGCACGTTTTACTAAGGAAATGGACAATTGTTTGCCTCTTGAAGGCCCTCTTGGGGCCCTCACGGGCCCTCTTGGGGCGCTCTTGGGCATCTTCGGGGCATCTTCAGGCTTTCGTGACCACCTGTACGGCCCGCGTGGCCTGTCCTGGGCAATTTGGAAGCGGCCCGGGGCAGTCAGTCCCGGGGGGTCTGTGACCCCCCAAAGGTTCGGGGGGGCCGCCATGGGGGATGACGGCACCGATTTTGGCCCTATATATACACACATACACATACATATATACATATGACATATAATGTGGACATATAATGTACACACACATACGTATCCGCCACCGTGCCTCCGGGCACGGAAAAGGGCGTGTTCTCAGATCCTATGCCTAATTGCCCAAGCCTCAATCCGCAAGCCTCAAAGCTAAATCCTCAGGCCTCAGCTCTCTCTCCTGAGGAGTTTTTCAAGGGCCCGAAACTCCAATTACCAAATCTACCGGGGCCTGCCGCGTCACGTCGGGGATCCGGCGCACCTCCCCGCAGGACTAGTTCGGACCCAGGTCGAGGGCCCCAAGGCGGGCCCAGAGGGCCCCGAGAGACCATGTGGGCCCTGAGACGCTGAAAGATTGCTCCTCCAATACGCCCAAGATGGCCCCAAGACGAACCCAGAGGCCTCTAAGACCAAAATATGTGAGTTCCCTCGTCTTTCGTGGTTTTGGTTCTCTCGCCTTTTCGGATTTGCGACGCTTCAAGACGGCCCAAGAGGCCCCCCAAATCGACCCCCGACGACCCAAGAAGCGCTCAGGAGGTCCGAAGATGGCCCAAGAGGGCAAGACGGCCCAAGAGGCGCCCAAGACGGCCCAAGATGGCCCAAGACGGTCCCAAGAGGGGGAACATGAACCGAAAATACCAGCCCAGCCTTCCGCCCCAAGAGGCGCCCAGAAGGGCCCAAGAGGCGCCCAAGAAGCCCCAGGAGACCCACAAGAGATCCCCACGAGGCTCCCAAGAGGCCCCCAAGAGGTCCGAAAGAGGCCCCAAGATAGTCCAGAACAGCTCCCCAGAGGCTGCAAAACTGCCTCCAGGAGGGCCCCGAAAGTCCCCTGGTCGGTCGGTCGGTAGAGAAGGGTCAGATGGCATCCGCGGCCCATGATAGAAATAGCGCGATACACAACGTGAGATGCAGTGCAACAAAGAAGGGAGAGTGTGTGCAACCATTAAACCTATAAAGCAAGCTCAAATCGCACTCCGCCAACCTCCAGGGGCCCCCAGGCCTGGTCATCAATGGGAACACAATATCGGGGAGGCGAAAAACTCTGGTACGGGGGACTCGGGTTGGGGTGACAGGGCCGTCAAGAGAATCTTGAGACCCGATCTGAAATTTCACGCGAACTCCTGCTGCAAACATCTCACGACAACTGGACCGTCTAAACTCAATACGGGCCCGCAACACATCGTAGGCAAACCCGAGTACCGGAAAACTCGAGTCCTACGCCTCCCTGACAACAGCGTCCACAACGACTGAAGGATTCAGGCGAAGCCTGCGAGGGTGGCTTCTCCTCCCCGTCCTCCTCCTTCTCCCCCTCTCCCCCGCCCTCCTCCTTCTCCTCCTCCCCCCCTCCGCGGCACGGGCGACTGCCCCCGCTGCATACTCCCACACCTCGCACCGCAGCGACGCGAGGCAGTAGCTGCGGCACGTCTGCAGCGCCTCCGAGGCGTTGGCGATGTAGCCCTTCTCGAACACGTTCTGCAGCCTCCGAGGGTTCCCCGGAGAGCACCCGAGGGCCGCGGCGTGCCCCCCGAGGACGCTCCGAGGGCCTTCCGAGGACGCTCCGAGGGCTTCCGAGGACCGCCGAGGGCCTCCGAGGACGCTCCGCGGCGTGCCCCCCGAGGACGCTCCGAGGGCCTCCGAGGACGCTCCGAGGGCCCTCCGCGGGCCTCCGGGGGCCCTCCGAGGGCGGGGCGGGGCGGCCGAGGGCCTGCGAGCCGCGTCTTGAGAGACGCTCAGCGCGCAAGGCCGCTCCGAGGCGGCCGCCCGTGGCTTCAGCGCAGCCGAAGACCGAGGAGGAGGAGGATGAGGAGGAGGAGGAGGAGGAGGAGGAGGAGGAGGAGGACCCGCCGAGCAGGCAGCGGGACCGAGACCGACAGACCGCGAGCAGTCATCGCTGTGACGAGCGAGCGGCGCATGCGGCGGACTTCGTCAAACTGGCCGTCGAGCCTCGGAAACTGCCGACGAGCCCCCCCCCTGCCCTCTCACGCCTACCCGCAACTGCGGGGGCTACGTTGGCGCTCACGCCGTGTGTGCTTTCCTTTTTTCCCAGCCCGAGCAACTAAAAAAGCAGAGGAGATGAAGGAGGGAGGGGTGCAGCAGGGGGAGGACCAAGACGGACCAAGCGGGAAGGCTTGGGGGGGCGTGGGGGGGCGTGGCGATCCTGAAGCCGAAGCGGCGGACCAATGCCGTGGGCGCCCTTCCCTTTCGAAGGACTGGGGAGCCCAGTCTGGGCAGAGGTCAGCAGCCGCCACGGGCAACGGGCACAGCCACCGCCGTCGTGCTACGACGAAGGACGCCCAGTACAACCAACGACTGGAGCTGTTCTGGCCACGGCGAGCCTCGGCCACGAATGGGATCTCCGGCCTGGATCTGAGGGGCAGCCCGAAAACCAGAGCTCCTCCTCCTCCTCCTCCTCCTGCTCCTCCTCCTCCTCCTGCTCCTCCTCCTCCTGCTCCTGGTGATCCTCCTCATCGTCCTCCTCCTCCTCCTCCTCCTCCTCCTCCTCCTCCTCCTCCTCCCTCCTCCTCCCCTCCCCTCCCCCTCCTCCTCCCCTCCCCTCCTCCTCCTCCTCCTCCTCCTCCTCCTCCTCCTCCTCTCCTCCTCCTCCTCCTCCTCCTCCTCCTCCTCCTCCTCCTCCTCCTCCCCTCCTCCCCCTCTCCCCCTCCCCCTCCCCCTCCTCCTCCTCTCCTCCTCCTCCTCCTCCTCCTCCTCCTCCTCCTCCTCCTCCTCCTCCTCCTAACCAGAGCTCCTCCTGATCCCAAAGATGGAGGAGGAGGAGGAGGAGGAGGAGGAGGAGGAGGAGGAGGAGGAGGACAAGAGGCCTCCAGGACGGCCCACAAGGGGGGAGCCCAAACCTGCACTTGGAGCCCTCCGCCCCAAGCTGGCATCCCGAGGCCGCCGACAGGCCCAAGAGGCGCCCGGGAGGCGCCCGCGAGGCCCCAGGCAGGACCAGCGAGGGGCCCCGACGAGGCGATCCAACAGGCCACCGAGAAGCCTCCCGAGAGACTCCAGACGGCCCCTCAGACCAGCCCTCCTGTACACGCGGCTCTGAGCGGTTTCGATCGCAGGAGGTCGAGGAGGAAGAGGGGAGGACGAGACCGAAAACAAAGAGGAGGAAGACGGAGGAGATAGAGGAACAACAGGCTCACCCCCTGCTTCTCAGTCGGCCGACTCTGGAAGCCCTGGGCGCGCCAACATTGGGGGCAAGCGATGTTCTGCCTCAAGTGGACAACATCCGCGACGACACCGACAGCGAGTCTTTGTCTTTGTCAACATGGTCAGGAACAGGTAATCGTCATCCCCACTCGTTTTGACTTTGTTTCGATCGTACCGAGCTGGATTTCGCTGGGCTTCTGCTGGCGGAGCCGCTCATGTTGCCCGGACCGCTGCTCCCCAGACCTCTCCCAGAACGCATCCTGACCAAGACTTTAAGCGAATCCAGCCGTGGCGAGGAGGGTCTCCAGGAGGCATAGCAGAAATCAGGCAACAAACAATGCCATAACCATCAAAACTCGGAGGCCCGCGCGGATGTCTTGGATCGGCGCTGGACCCCTCGAGGACACGCCCCCGGGGAGGCTGTCAGCAATCGTCAGGACACCGAAACCAGCGCAAAACTGCTCGTGGTCGATGTGGGCGCCCACGACCACATCGACCACAACCACAGGGGAGCCCAGAATCGAATCGATAAGTCGGATCGGCGATCGAAACGAATCGGATCGGCGGAAATCGGCAGCCAAGTCGGGAAAAGTCGAATCGGCCCAAATCGGCAGAGCAGTGATGCCTCATTGAGAAATCGGAACCCCAATCGGAATGCAGAGTCGAATCGGAATCGGAATCGGAATCCATCGAAATCGAATCGAATCGAATCGGAGGAATCGAAACGATCCCTGCAACCACGACCAGCGCGGTCATGTCGAGGTCGGTGCGGTCCTCCCCCGGAAGGGCCCTCCAGAAGCGATTGCAAAAAAAACGAAGGATTGCAAAAAAAACGAAGGATTGCAAAAAAAACGAAGGATTGCAACAAAAAAAAAGAAGGTTTTTTGCAATCCGTCGGTTTTTTTGCAATCCTTCGTTCATGTGGGCGCCCACGACCACACCGACCATGCGCCGCCAGAATTTGACCATATCTACTGCTGCTGGGTCGTGTTGCGAGGACTCGGGGAGCGGCGGATATGGATATCTGCCCGCTCACGCGGGCGGGCGAATATCCACATCCACTGCTCCTCGAGATTCCAGGGCACGACTCCGAAGCGGTGGATGTGGACATACTCTGGCGGTGGAGACCACAACCACGACCCAACGCGGTCCTGTCGAGGTCGGTGCGGTTTTCTCCCCCGAAAGGGCCCTCCAGCAGCAGCCGCTCTCGGCTCCGGCTTGCGGCTCTGCGCTGTGGCTCTGGAGCACCTCTTCCCCCTCCGACCCCGCGGGGGCTCCCGCAGGTAAAACAGGGCCAGGAGCGGGAGAACTCGCTCGAACGAAGGGTTTCTTCTGCAATCCTTCGTTCGAAGGGTTTTTTTGCAATCCTACGAAGGTTTTTTTGCAATCCTGGGTTTTTTTGCAATCCTCCTCCGACCCCGCGGGCCTCCGCAGGTAAAACAGGGCCAGGATCGGGAGAAATCGCTCCAGAGCGCTCCGGCTCCGGAGCGCTCTCAGCGCGTTCCGGAACGCTCTGGAGCGGCCGCGGCGCCCAATGCATGCTCCAAGCCCGCCGACTCTCAGGGATTTCGAGCTATCCCGATCCGATGTTGTCCCGATCTTCGTGTCGTTTTAGCAGGCCTCCCAGGGCGAGGCGTCGCCGCTCCTCGAGATCCCTCGGTGAGCGAGGACGCCCGCGCCTCCCGCGCGCAGCCGCCCCGAGAGGCCCCTGGGAAGCCCCCGGAGGCCTTGGATCAGCAGGAGGCGGCGGGACCACGTTGCATTAGGTCGGGCCTGTCCCCCTACAGGGGAATTGTGGACGAAAAATAAAACATACCAACAAAAAAAAGCAAAAGATGCCCAAAAATACTCATAAGTAGTCCCCAGACTATTTTGTTTACGATTTTTGAATGCAGTCGGGGCGTTGACCTAAGGAACCCTAAATAGGGAACGAGGCCCCTGTTTTCCATAAGTTGAACTTCGATTTCCCATCGAAAACATGAGGAAACCCTGAGGCAAGCTGCGAAACAATCAAGGAACACGGAGCCCCTCCCCAACGAAAACGGTTCCTTCTTCAGGACCCCGACTGTACAGGGGGATTTTGGACGGAAAATAAAAAATACACCAAAAATATGCAAAAGATGCCCAAACATACTCAGAAGTAGTCCCCAGACTATTTTCTGACTAGTTTTGAATATTCCCCCTGTAGAGGGACGGGCCCGACTTAATTGTAGCGCCCCGGCTGGAAACACAATGTGAATGTTGTCGTTTTCGGCGTTTCGACATCGGGCGAAAGACGCAGCTTCGCCTCGCCCGCACGCACGGCACGCACGAACACGAAACCGAAATCGATTTCCCGGTAGGGGGGCTCTCCGTTCCACTTCGATCTCACCCCCTCACCTCCGACTCTAAAAATACCCCCAAAAGGTAAAACAATGCTCAACAAATAATCCCCGGACTTTTTTTTGACAATTGTTTGACTCTTTTTGAGGTATTTTTTATATTTCGTCGAAAATCCCCCTGTAGGAGGACACGCCCGACATAATGTTAGCCCATTGGGGAACTATTCTGGGGGAATCCTGTGGGGGAATCTCGTCGGGGAATATCATTGCGAATCTCGGGGACATCCTACGGGAACCTACGGGGAACCCGAATCGAATTAGAATACATTTGGAATCCGATTGTAATCTTAACCATTTGCAATTCCAGAGAATCCCACAACAACTGGCTATCCCTTGGGGTATTTGTTTTTTGTTGTTAACAAGCATCTGGCAACCTGGAGCCCTCTTCTTATTTCCCCGAGGACCGCCCCGAAAGCACGGTGCACCATTGCGCGAAACAGCGATTCGCGCGCCCACCAGGGGGGGACGGGGCCCCCGTGCTTACTCCGCCTGCTCGAAACAGGCGCCGAAATTGGGCGTGGCTTAATGGGGGGGTCACAAATGGGGGGGTCAGAAAAGGTCCCCTTTCGTGCCCCTTTCGGGCCCCTCCAGCGCGCCACCCCCCCATTTATGACCCCCCCATTACGCGGCGCCCAACGAAAGCAGCCAAGATCTACTCCCTAAGGGGGGGGGGCCCGCGCGGATTGCGAGGGCCCGCGCGGATTGCGAGGGCCCGCGCCGATTCTCCCACGATCGGATTTCGTCTGCAAGCCCGACGCCTTTCCGCGGCTTCGGCCCCCGGGGCCGGTTGCCGGGCCCCCGGGTCGTCCACCAGAGATCCGCGGCGAAACGCTGGACCCCTCGGGGATGGACAGACCCCCCTTTAGCAAAACGTGGTTTAGTGAAAACGACCTGAGGCCCAAACCTGGCGGGCGCAAGCCTGGAACATAACGGCCACGGCGCCATCTCGAGAACCGAAAACGGACAATTCACTAACCGACGTGTCACTGTTGGGGGTTCTGTCGATCCCCGAACCCCGGGGAAGAGGTCGGGACGTCCGAGGCCGCGCACTCACCGCAGATCAGGTCGGAGGACGTCTGGGGAGGGGGCGAGCCCGCTGGTTCCCGGGGTCCCGTCTCGGGATTACCTTTTGCTGCCGCGCAGCTTTGCTTTGCCCCCCCCCCATCCCCACTCTGTTTACAGCGTGGACCATCAGGGGTGCCTAACGATTCAACGGCAGCGGGGCCCGTCCAAGGTCCCCCAGAGGCAGGGAAGAACGAACAAACCTGCCGCCGTGATTCTTGCACGTCGCGAGTGCATCAAGGATCGGGAGGGGCGAGGCGAGCCGTGCAGGCCTGGTGACCTCGACGCCGGCAAGGTCCAGCAGCACTCTGTAGTGGCCTCGGAGCAGCCGCTGGTCCCGCGGATCGCCGCAGTGCCAGCAGCAGACGGATGGGGGAGGGGGGGAGGAGGGAGACAAGGAGGTTTAAAGAGGTGCAGAGGAGGGTGGAGGAGGAAGAGGTGTGGAGTGAAATGGAATGCCCAGAAAGGGAAGCGGACAGCACTGGACGACTGCCGGCCCTCGACGCCTGCTGACAGAGGCGAGTGCAGCGCACGTGAATGTGGAGAGGAAGAAACAGAAGGAGGGAGGAACGGGGGAAAGAAGGGGGGGGAGAGATGGAGGGGCTGGGGCCGTCGACACACCGCACCGCCCTGGACCCCAGAAAACCACGCTCGGGGGGCAAGGGTCGAGAGCCCTGGGCCCCCCCCCTTCCGCCCCCGCTCCCCCGAGAAACCGGCCCGGGGAGCACCTCCTGCGTGCCTCGGACCTCGGCGCCCTGGGTTGCACCAGCTGCGCAGGTGGTCGCCACTCTCGTGACGTAGCGGGAAGGCCAAGAGCGTGACGTCAGACACGGACCCAAGCGAGACCTCGCCCTCCATGGGCGCTGAAAACGCGCACCTGTCGCCTCTCTCGTGACACCGTGGAAGGTCCAGTGAAGCGACGTCTTGCCCAGGCCCATACAAGACCGATGTCACCACCCTCGTGAGCTCATGGTAAGTCCAGCGGGGGAACGGCTTATCAAGATCCAGAGGGCCTCGCCCTCCCTGGGTGCTGCCAACTGTGCAGTCGTCGCTGTTTCCGTGAGCTTTTACCCAAGCCATCCCAAACGAGACATCGATCCGACTTGGTGATTGATGCCAACTCAGCTCGGGGGGGTCCAGCGGAATGGCGTCTTACCCAGGCCCGAACGAGACCTCGGCATCCCTGGATGTTGCCAAGCGCGCAACTGCCGCTAGGGGGTCCAGCGGAATGATGTCCTCATACCCAGGCCGCATCGAGACCTCGCACTCCCTCGGTGACCTCAGTGGATGCTGCCAACTTCAAAACTGTCGCCACGCTCGTGAGCTTCTGGGTGGTCCAGCACTGTGGCGTGATGCTCAGACCCAACCGAGACCCTGCCCTCTATTGATACTACAACGGAATGGCCTCTCACCCAAGCCCAAACGCTTACCATCGCTCGGACGTCCATTCCCCGAGCATTGTTCTGTCTCGCGCGATTGTTTTCTTCGCTAGGTGCGCCAAGATGCTCCTCTATGGTTCTCGTCGAGAAAAATGCGCACGTCCGAGCGATGCCAAGAACAAGACCCCAGGGGAACAAGCAACGACATACGCAGAGCAACTCGGAGGTCCGGGCGGATTTCTCGGATCGGCGCTGGCGCCCCTGGCGGCGCCTCTGGCCACTGGCGCGCCCAGCGCGCCAAGGAAGGGGGTTCAGCGCCGTTCCGAGGGAAACCGCGCGCACCTCCTTTTTATGTTTTGCCATTGTTCGTTCCCCAAGCCCGAATCAGACCCTGCCCTTCCTCAAGGGCTCCTAAGTTCGCGCTTCGCGCTGCGCGAAGCGCGAATAACTTCGCGCTCTCGCGCCGCCCCCCAAGGGGGAGAAGAGGAGGACGAGGAGAAGGGGGAGGAGGAAGGAGGACGGCGAAGCGCGAAGCGCGAATAACTTCGCGCCCTCGAGGGAGCCCTTGCAACTGCACAGCCGCGGCCACTTTCGGGGAGGCCCAGCGGGGCGCCCTTCTGCCCAGGCCCAGGCGGCGTCGCCCTCCCCGCACCCTGCCACATGCGCAGCTGCCGCCGCCTTCGTGAGCTCCTGGGAGGCCCAGCGGAGTGACGTGAAGCGACGCCTCACCGAGACCCAAAGGGGCCTCGCCCTCCCTGGGTGCCGCCACGTGAGGCCCAGCGGAGCGACGCCATGCGCGAACCAAAATAACACCAAAGGCCTCCCTAAGTCATGCCAGCCGCGCAAATGCCACCGCTTTCTTGAAATCCTGGGAAGTCCAGCGACGTGACGTCTTGCCCATCCCATGCGAGACCTCGCCCTCCCTGGGCGCCGCCAAACTGCGCAACGGTGGCCACTTCCGTGATCCGCTCCAAGGTCGAGCGGGGTGTGATCCTACGCCCATCCAAACGGGAACCCTACCCTGCCTGGCTGTCCTGCGCAGGCCCAAATGCGACCCGGCGATACCCTCTGCACCACTGCCGCAGCTTTCGCGAGCTCCTGGGAGGTCCAGCGGAGCGCGGCCTCGCTCGAGTCCGGATTCTCGCCCTCCCTGGATGATGCCAGCTGCTCGGGGGGGGGGCTCACGGTCATGAGCTTTGTTCTGGGACAGCGTGTCGCGGCGGCGGCCTTGGCGACACACCATCTGAGGAAAAAGAACTATGCACATACACCGATTCTGGCCAGGCCCATCCTGAGCCCAGGATCGGTACATACGCCCTCCTACCTTGGCCAGGAATGCATATGCACCGATCCTGGGTCAAGGACGGGCCTTGCCAGGATCGGTGCATGTGCACAGTTCTCTTCGCCCGAGCCATGCGGAGCGAGTGGATGGCGTGTCGCTCCGCTCCGCGGGGCGGCAAGCTCGGGAGAACTCGGAACGTAGACGCCTGGGGGCACGGAAAGGGATCGCGCGCGTCGCGCCGCAGCGTGGTGGGCCAGCACCGGCGGAGCGCCGCGCTGCCCAAGGAGCTCCCGACCGCAGCACGGCGAGGTCCTGCGCGGCTCCACGCGGGAGCACGCGGGCGGCTCCGGCCAGCGCCCCTGCGCAGCGCGGCGTGCCCGCGCCCCCTGCGCGGATGGCCGCCGCCGAGGGGCTGGCGCAAGACCTCGGCCTGGCGCGGCACGCTGCACGATCTGGAAGCCGGGATAGGAGCCGTCATCCTCAATCGCCGGTTGCGCTGTCCTGTCCCGCGTCCTTGCCGCCCCCGCCCGCCAATGCGTTACCTCCTCCTCCTCCTCCTCCTCCTCCTCCTCATCCCCCCTTCTCGCAGTTCCCCGTCCTCCACATCCTCCTCTGCCACCTGCTCATTGGTTTCCTCCCTGCCGCTTCTTCTTCGTCTTCTCATCCCCTTCCATTTCCGTATGCTCCTCCGATTCCTCCCGCCGCAGGGTGTCCAATTGACTGCCAGACGTTGGAATGCCGCCACTGTCTGGTCTCATGCGGCGTTCAGCCCAGCCGCTTCATACTTTGCGAGGTGAGTGCACGTCCTTCGATGTGCTGAGCTGCTCTGGAGGGGCCCAGGGATGCTTCCCTTGCCACTCAGGGGTTGAGTACGTCCCTGGGCAATCCTGTTACCATCGCCCTGGGGGGGCCACGCAAAGGACGCCTGGAGGCCTTTGCGGGCCACCTGTGAGCCCCTTTGGCCTCTCTATTGGCCGGGCGCGCTTCTGGGCGGCAACCAGCGGATGCGTGCGGGCGCCGGGGCAGGCCGGGAAGCCCGGTTGGGAAGGCCGCGGGAGCGGCCAGGGACGGCCCTGGAGCCCAGACCTCCCGATGGCCCCCACAAGTCCTTGCCATCCGCCTCACACGTCCTCCTCGTTTCCATTGTGAGGCCTCCGTGGATACCTCCGTGGACGCTGGTGCGCAGAGGCTGGGATCGGCAGCTCAACGATTGGGCCCTGGGGGATGGGCCCTGAGGGCGAGTGGCCTCAAACAGCGACGGTTCAGCTTGCCACTCATTTCTTATCCTGACACGTCGTTCAGTTCTAATCGTGCTCATTTCTGATTGTGCTCGTTTCTAATTGTTCCTGGCCCCCTAGTGGGCAGGAAGAAGCCCAGGATAGAACAATCAGAAACGCAAGGGTCTTGGCCCCAACAAAAATCAAAGTATTTCCGAATCATGATAAAGGAACAATGTGTAGGGCCCCATCCCTCAAGGCTCCATCCTTGAGCCGCCGATGGGTGGCAGGCTCGGCCGAGAAACGGAATCACCGTGCCGAGCCTGCACTCCTGAGACCCGGCGCAGACCTGCAGCCTTCCTTTTGTCCTCCCGCTCTGCGGCCACGGCGCGAGCGCAGCGGCGCAGGACGCGAGGCCCCGCTCCGAGAGGCCTGGGGCTCTGCCCCGCCGAGCCGCGGACCTCGAGCGGGCGCCGACGCTACAGGCAGCTCTGCGTCGGGGGAAGTCGGCTCACCGCCCACACCGATCATGGCCGCGCCCATCCTGGGCTTCGGTCGGGCGTGTCCCCCTACAGGCGGATTCTGGATGAAAAACTGAATAGACTCAAAACATGCCCCCCAAAGAATCAAAAAATGCCCCCAAAAGAATCAAACAATGATCCACGAATCGTCACCTGACTATTTCTGGACTGCTTTTGAATACTGCTCCTGTAGGAGGGACAGGCCCGACTGAATCCTGGTTGAGCAGGGACCGACCGTCCCAGCATTCCTATAGTCCTACCACGAAATGTTCTTAGAACCCAAAAAATTCGAAGGACAGAAACAATGTTCTTAGAACATAAACCCGATGTGGTAAAACAAGACAGACTCCGCCAGAAATGTTCTGAGACCATTTCGTGGGAACCACAAAAGGGTTCTTAGAACATTGCTTGGTCGGTTATAAGCGAGCCAGGACGCTTCGCCACTGCTGGACCTGGGCCCAGGACGGGCCGGGACTGACTACCTACCAGACCACCCCAACCCAACCCAAAGACCCGAATTTGACCTGAATTTCGGGTTGGGGGGGGTACGGGTTCCATGTGTTTCTTCAATGTTCCCCGAATGTTCCCCGACCCCCCCCCACTGGAAATGGAGGGAACACTGAGGCCTTCGGGTTGAATTTGGGGTCGTTTGGTGGGTGGTGAGGGACGGGATCGCTATGGAGGCGGTCCGCCGAAGCCCCCCCCGATGGGAGGGCCCGAACGGCCAGCTCCAGAAGTGCCACGCGATGCTCAGAGGAGGAAAAGGCACTCATACCTCTACCCTCCCCTCGTTCTCCCCTTTTTGGGCCTCCTGGGCCTCCGTCGTCGCCACCGCTGAGTTCGCCTAGAGGCCCTGGTCAGAGCGCACTCCAGGAGAGGTCTGGGGAGTAGCGGTATCGGTACCTTTTGGTTTCTCCAGATGCGTCCCCAAG